TAACCACGCGAATGTACACATTGAAGAACGCCCTCCATACTCTGCAGAGAGGCCTAGAAATATACTATACGAACTTGGTACTAGGGCCGCGGAGGAAGACGGAATACAATTAGGAAATTGTCAAAGCAATGCAACGTCGCCTTGTTTATAGTCTAGTCTACTAGCTTATGGTGAACGGATCGAGACGGAGCAGTTCCATATGAAGCATGGAGACCGATAGTGCTTAATATGAACCCTTGTAAAGATACCACATGTAAATTGCGCATCAATCTATGTCAGTATATTGGAACAATAGAACCTCACCTTCCCAAAGTAGTAAGGGGAAAACTCCCCATCTGAACCCCTTAGGCAATTGCATCAATATTCTCCTTGTCCTTAGGTCAATATGAGTCTCTTTACGGAGAATAGAACTAACAATCTGTGAGATTTTTACTATGGTATTGTATGCACGTTGACATACTACATCATGTAGAGTGTGTTCACCATCTTCCTGCTAGCTGCTTATTGCTAGTTAGGTGATCATTTAGCTTAGAATCCCGAACCTCGTTCTAGTCCGGACGGTAGGGTGTAGCACTGCTTGAGTGGAGGAGCCCCGGCCTAGCCTTGGGGCACATAGCCGTTTAAGGTGACTTGCAGGAGGGTTGATTATCATCTGCAGCCACTAAGGCTGGTGGGTTATCTGTACCAATAACTGCGAAGGAGCAGCCCGTATGATGGCTGGCCGTGGTTCCATCAGCACGCGTCCTCGATGCCAAGATAACATTGACATATTACCATGCGAGTCAAGTCTTTATTGGGAAATAGAGCTCGGGCCGCACGTTCATTGTTACTAGCGATGCTAATCGTGTGTATGTGGAGTTATTGTCTCTATCCATGCTCTCGAAGAGATTACAGCGGTCCCATAGATGATTGGTTGAGAAGCCCGAGAGTCAACTTACTACTACTAAGTACTACTACACGGTTTGGTTCTCTATGCCCTTAATCCGTCCATGGTACTACTGCTAAAGTAGTATTTGTTGGTTACGCCTAAGCTATCTGAGTAGGGTACTCTTGTGTCAGTCAGTGTACGTAAGTGAAGAGCTACTGGCAGGATTCACATAATAACTGTCCAAATCATAGTCCCACGACGGCTGCTAAGACCAGTCGAACACCAATCATGGCTATTACTCCAAATTCGGTTGATGGCGAGATAGAAGTCGATCGTTAGCAAGCGAGACGCATAACCTCCATAGATATCTGAGATCTACTAAGCAAGCCACAAGCTGCATATGGAACTCCGTGTCTACCGGGTGGGGAGGGACGGTTGGCCGAAGAGCCCATAAAAATGCCGCTTTGGTCATATGCGGCCCCAGTAACTTCGCGAGTTAAAATTGTGAGGCAACACCAGCATTCTTGTACAAGAGCACATGTGCAGGAGCTGTGCTCCGGAAAAAGTGAATAGCTATGTCAATGTGATCTTCCGAAGCACATGACTGCTCGGGACTGTGACTCAAGGGAACTTTTTAATGATATACCTTACAGCGTACAGATAAATTCCAGCTACTCAAAAATATCATCATGGCTCAGAGTTGATAGCCATATTCTGATTTGGTAGGCCAGAGACCTCTGTCTCGGATTAACTTTCAGCTGATAAATGCATGTTCTCGGAGCCGACCATGCTATGGGTCATGACATTACTAGCTGAGAGACAGTGGTGTGTCACTGTCTGGGGAATGGTCTCGACTTCGTATTACCTCCAGCCTATGGCAGCATTTGTTAATGTTAAACCCCACCCAAGCTTCGTGATCCATTCTTATTTAGCGGGCGACTGGTTGTGGGAGGCAACGAGTGCAGGTAGTGGGCTTTAATGAGACGGGGTTGGGAGATCGCCGCTAGGATCACCGTTAACCTGAACGTTTTTGGTTTGAGGCCAATGAGGCCATAGCTACCACCGATTCTGTATTGTGCGTAAAGTTCCCCAGCACACTGTCAGTGGTGTTTAGGGGGGCCCGTTCTTCGCTTTTCGCCCTTTCCAAGTATCACTTATTCCATGTATACCAAAATGAATTCAATGTCAAGTAGAACTTCACCATGGATTAAGATTTTCTAGGCAATTATCTGTTTTCTCCGCGATGGACAGCTGCCCTCGATATTGGAGGGGGCATGGGGGATGGTGTGCGTGTGTGACAACCTGTTGACAAAATTGTAGCCTAGTGCGCAGTAGCTGGAATTGCTTAGCGAGGCACGCAGTCCCGTTCAGTGTATTTTGTTACATAGCTATTACCGTTTCTTCGCTTTGAGATAGTTCGCCTTTTGCAACAAGTGGGATTCCAAAATGCGAGATTCTGTACTTGGCCTGTAATTTAATGGCTGAAAGCTACCACTACCATCTAGAGATGCTAAGTAAGTACGAAAAGATGAAGAGATTCACGTCTGGAATGTGGTGAGAAATGGTCATTCGGTCTTCGGGTCATCCTCTTTCCTAGGAACCTTTATCTCAAAATTCCCGAAGAACTTTGGATGGGTGCTTATCTTTCTCCCTTTCCATTTCCGTGGTCGCAGTATCATCGCCTAGTCTACCATAGTTAACATAACTTTGTCCGGCTGACCTTCAATATTATTATGGGCTTGGGAGGCTCAAAGAGCTGTGCTGATCGGTAGGGGCTAAAAAGAAATTAACAAAAAAAGAAAAACAAGAAGCCATGTGCCATGAATAAAACAAATGCCTTTCTTTCCCCTTTAGTTGCGAGTACCACTATCTTGATGCCCTCAACATAATAAGAAAAGAATCCTGAGGGTGAGATGGGAATATGTAAACTAGTAACCTCAATTATTTCCACATAATTTCCGACCTCTGGAAAGGTTTGTTGTCCTCTCTGACAACTATTTCATTTATTTTCTTTTTCCCCATTCGTTTTCTTCCCGATCGGAGCTTCTTGTCTAGGCCGATGGTCTGCTATGTTGGCTATTTTAGTTCTCACCAATGCCACTAGGTAGTATGCAGCAGCAATCTGCACCTGGATAGAATTAGAAATTGTATGTTGTTGTTACAGGATCAGACTCCTCGAATGATGATTTGAAGAAATTACTATGTCGTCACTGTCATGTATGGAACAGCTCTGATTCAATTTCGGTAGCGGCCATTCTCTCCTTTGATTCTTTGAAAATCCCGGGAAATCATGATGATAGCAAGCTTGACATGTTAATTCGGATTTAATGGTAATGCTTCAATAGGGGGAGCATGTTATCTCTCTTCACATAGACGTTAAATTACGCATGGAATTCGGAAACAAGTGAGATTTTTTTTTCCCCGTTTCCTCTTTCTTTTTTTTTTTTTTTTTTTTTTTCTTATCCTTGTTGGTTGATCATCCAGCCGACAAACGAACTCTGCCCCCCCACCACCTCTTACCAAGTATTATCTAGGTGATTTTGCCTGTCGGCTCATCGGCGTCACTTGCCCATCGGGAATGATGAATGAGCCACCGATGATTTTATGTTAGGTTTATCCAATCTTTTTTTATTTTCCCTTTTCGTTTTTTGTTTTTCTCCGTCTGATTTTTACTATTTTCATTTTGGTCATTTTTCTCAATATCCGATATTTAAATGATTATGAATTTTGTTTATTCCCATTTAGGGTTTTTTTGCGTATGACTCTGTATACTTTGCCCCTTTCCATCTATTCAGTCCACCTTGACCGGGGAAGGAAAGAGGCGGAAAAGAAAAGAAAAGGAAACAAAACAGAATGATAGAATAAACCAAGTTAATAAGAAATCGAAAAATAGAAATCAAGGAAGAAGTAAAGAGGGGAAGTAAGTCCAGAAAGCGAAGATGGAGAATGTATCATCCTGTTGCAGGGGAGGAAAGTGTGTGTGTGTGTATGACCATGGACGGTGGAGTGGAAAGGAGGGAGGCATTTCTCTACTCAAGCTTCGCTCTGGTAAAAGTACCTTAAGGAGAGGTGGCTAGTACGAGGAGATACTGGGCCTACTCCATAATAATGACTCTCGTGTTTAGGAAGTCTACAGCGTCCCGGGCAGGATGCGCAGAACAGAGTGGACTAGATAGTGCTAAGGAGGTACTAGGACGGACCGGTTAGTACGGAATACTACACCCCCAAAGGCCCCAACACAGTTAAACCACTGCGAATTTCGGAGACGCCCACTAACGTGCTTTTAGCTCCTACTTTAGCCTTAGAAAACACACCCACACACCATCAGCAGTCTCCACCCTCTCTGGCCCATGTCACTGCAGTGGACTGCACAGTAGCTGCATGGACCGCCGCCAATCCTTTCTCCACCCGCATTATCCTCCATCAGTCCATCTAGATCCAGGGTCTCTGACGCACGAGGCAAAAATACACCTGCATGACACTCAAAATGACAAAGGAACTGGAGCCCACAAGTAACTTATTTATATTTCTCTCTAGGGATTGGCTCAATCCATTGTCTGGATGCCGGACTTGAACATGTGCCTTCCCTGCCATTCCGTGCCATCGACTCCATCTGCAACAAATAAGAATCCCCAATGTTGCATGTTCGCCCATAGGCATTCTCATCTTCTGTGAAGCCAATTGACCTCAGAGCTGGTCTTTCATTTTCTTAGAACTTCCTGACGAGGTCTTGGGCTATCTTTATACCCAGACATTCGTTCATCCTGTTCTATCTTTTTTTTCTTTTCTTCCTTTCTTTTCTCTTTCTCTGCCTCTACTTCCGTCCTCCTATCCTGTTCATCCTACTAGGAGACCATATACCCATATTCTCTCTATCTCTCCTCTCCTCAACTTGTCAATTATCAACAAAACTTTTATGCTGGCAGAGCGGTGCCCAGCATTTTCGTCATTTTCTCTATCCCCCGATAACGCGCCCCTGTGAGCACAGTGCGCAGTGCCAGTCCCGGTGTCTGTAGCTTGATCCAGCATTGGCGAGAGATCGGGGACGATATTCGGAGTGAAGTCTATAGCGACCGAAGTAATCAATTGGCTTGAGGAGTGTAATCCTAGGCCTGATCATATTGCTTCAATCATGGAGTTTCCGTTCATGCGAGCATTTATTGCCCTCTTGTTAGTATTGACCTGAACTGGCCTGAAGCTTACTTTTGATGTATCACCAGTGATTGGACATCTGATTGTATCGAATTTCTCTAGCTAACTCTCCTGATATATAGTTTGTATCGCTACTTCCGTCTTGTTGTGAATCTCTTTTCTTTCTGGACGTTCAAACCAATTCCTCCGCCGGAGAATCCGAAGTTGACTGCCCAAGATGTAACGGTTATCTTACCAACGTTAGAGGGATGTGGTGATGAACTCGTGGAAACCATAAGAACGATTCTCGACACTCAGCCCTACGAACTCCTTTTGGTCACCATTGAAGCGAATCGACAAAAAGCTGAGAACATGCTGAGCTTGATGCCCGCTTCGAAGTCAAGAATCCGCTTGTTCACCGTTACTCACCCCAACAAGCGCCGACAAATGACTAGAGCGATCCCTGAAGTCAAGACTACTATCACGGTCTTCGCAGATGATGACGTGAGTTGGCCACGCACAGTCCTCCCTTGGATGCTAGCACCTTTCGAAAAGGATGAGCGATTCGGTGGTGTGGTAACTTGTCAACGTCTGAGACGGGCTGTTTCGCCATCATTCTCTCAACGCATATGGGGATTTCTGGGTGCACTTTACTTGGAACGAAGAAACTTCGATTGTGCGGCAACAACGCATATTGACGGTGGACTTCCCTGCATGTCAGGCCGGACAGTCGCATACAGAACAGATATCCTTCAGAATGAGGGATTCACGTATGGATTTACCAACGAAGAATGGTGGTTCGGAAAGTACCAATTGAACGCAGACGACGACAATTTCATTACCCGTTGGATGGTGTCGCATGGCTGGGAGACTTATATGCAATATCATCCTGAAGCGGAGGTCTTGACAACTCTGGAAGACAACCCCAAGTTTCTCAAGCAGTGCGCGCGCTGGTCCCGAAGCAACTGGAGGAGCAACCTTACAAGCATGTTCCACGAAAAACACATCTGGTAGTAAGTCTACCCTATCTGACTTGTCTGGTGAGCGTGCGTACAATGCACACTGGGATGAGTGTTTATCTCCTGTTATCGAATGGCCTTTCATTCACAAACCCTGCTTGCCTCCCACATCGTTGGTCAACGACGCCGTTGGATGGTATTTCCCTTCATTCCGATTGTCATTTCCCAGATCTTTCTACAGGCATAAGGAACTGGCCGTCGGCCTTGGAAGGCTGGGTCGTTCCTAGTCTTGGTATCCGACTGTGAAAAAAAATTTTTTTTTTTTTTTTTTTTCGTTAGGCCGCTTACTGTAAATGTCTGTCTGATCCGCACGCTAACGCTTGGTTTACTGTATTACTAGTCGCCAGCCTTGGAGCGCATACGCTGTTCACTTGACGACGCTTTCGCCGCCAGCTTTCCTCGGCGATTTATTGCTCCTTATACTATGTCACAAGGCTACGGTTTCTTGGGACAATGATACGCACGCGCTAGCTATGCAAGCTCTCGGACTGTGGATGTTTATTAGCAAGTTCATCAAACTTCTCGGACATTACATCCGTTACCCGGTTGATGTTATCCTTTTGCCGGTGTCCATCCTCTTCGGCTATTTCCACGGAGCTATTAAAATATACGCCGTGCTAACTCTGAATGTGGTAAGTTGCAGTACCCCAACACAACATGCGTTCTGTTCCGTTGTTTCGTTTCTACAGAGGGTGCATGCGCAAGTGCAGCCTAGTATCTTTGGGCGACGCTTGTAGCATGGAAGTGGGCTCTAGCCCTTGGCCTGCTTCCGTGCTCGACACCCAACCCCTCCCATCATGCAATTGCATTGGCCGTGGGCCTCACCTCTCATCCTCGCCCTCCCTGTATCCACCCACGGCCTTCCCCATCTTGGTAACCCGATTTTGCCTTCTGCATCGCTTTAATTTCTACTTCCGATTTCTTTCTGCACTCCGGCCTTCCACTTTTTTCTTAGGTTGCTTGTCGCTTTTTCCGGGTTTCTTTCCTCATTATTGGTCTCATTCCCTCTTATCATCTGTGCTTCGCTGTCCGCGTTTAGTGGTGGCTATCACTTGTTCCGTCTTATTTTTTGGCCTCTGATTCTTCCCTTTTCACGCAACATCTGGCCTTGTTGAACGATAACTACTCCTTGCTATCCGACTCAGATTGGCTAACCGAACTATTATTTTTTCAGACCACATGGGGTAGCAGAGACGGTGCTGATGATTATGACGCGGAGCGGATGAAGAAGCGAACGGACACGGACCGTATGAAACGGCCTTATTACCCGAGTTACATAACTCAATGAAGCCCACATGCGCGGTGTGTGGACATATGTCAAATTACTAAATGCCTTTGCTTTTACCTTGAGCCAACCTTCTTATCGTGTCCGTGGTTCAGCGACTGCTCGCACCCCGGGCGTGCCTGTCCTGCTGGTTACTGAAGCTCGCCTTTGATATCCCAGCGACCTTCCAGCAATCGCTCTAGAATCTCGGTTGCACGATACACTATTACGACGAGATGCCTTGATGACGCTAAATTGGGAACAATGAGATTAGGGTTCCCATGGCCTTCAGTTGATGTATAATTTCTCTTTGCACAAATATTTTTATATTTTCACTTGACCCTTTCCTCGCGATCTAATGGACCGATCCTGTTGCACGCACGGCCCCGTCCAAGAAAAAAATATCCCTCCTACGCTCGGATTGACTCCTCCATCCAAAGTTTGCCCTGTGTCTCTCCTTTTCTCGCTCCTTGATTGGTGGTTGTTGTTTGGGTCTGCAACACCAGTACCTGACACAACCTTTCCAATCCTGGACACTCTGGTTATTTCAAGCCTTCTGAGTTCTGTAAATTATAAAAGCGTGGGCGGATCTTTTCTTATCCAAATTGGCATGGTTACTTAATGTGCTGTTTCCCTCACTGCCGCCTGTATGTTCAGTTTTCCTTTTTTCCATCCTTCTCTGCTTTCCTACCCCTAGACTCTACATGTGGGAAAATTTTGCTGGAGTGTTCTCATCGTCATTGTCGATTTGGGTTTAATCTCCTTCGTACACTTTATGCATAATATTTAATGCTCAATATGCAATCAAAATGATCAGTTTGAAACGTGCTGTGCTTATGAAATGGGTGCGATGCGATGTATGACCAGTCTAGGTGTCTCGTTTATAGATAGGCGTCGCCAGGCATCGTCGTAAATAATGCAACTGATGCACATACATATTATGTCTCTTTTCACTCGCTCCGTATCATGACTACCTTTTGTTCGCTCTTGACGGTGTATTTTTTGATTGCTTGTCGCGAGGACGATCGGTATACAGCCCTCTAAAGAAGCAGGTGAACCGCAGAACCACCTCTATTCTGTTGTCTTCATCATCTATCATTGCTTCAATGCAGCGACCAGCGAAGATGGTATGTGGCGGAGCTGTGGCGCATGTGGCGTTCCAATCGGAGACTAGTAGTTCTCCGCAATACGGCTTACGAACAAGCTCAAACCTCCGGTTTACCAATCGGTCCGCTTCACAGGAGAAAAGACGCAGAAATTTGGTTGAAGGATCTTTAGAACTCCAGGAGGAGCCACGCCAAATAGATCATATCATTGTTTGAACCAACTCCTTTGTATTCGCTCGATCATTTGACTGAGAGGCGATGCCCGCGTTTCATCGGGCCGTTACGGCTATTTCGCGGCAGGCGGTCTTCAGAGGTGCGCAACGTCAACATGTTGTTGCACGTTCTATCAGTGCCTCAGCATTGAAGTCCGCCATTGCTCATCCCATTACTACTCATGGCCCCCCACCCAAGGCCCCTTCACCTACATCTGCCAACCCAGAGCTACTACAGAAAGATGCGGCCTTGCACCAGAAAACCGAGAAACGTCCGCTGCCAGGAAAACCATCCGTGCTCAAGAAGCGATTCTGGAAGAATGTTGATGTTAAGCAGAAGCCAGGTACGCATTTCTTCTCTTGCGATCAGTCTACATGGGACACTTGCGCTGACATGTTTTGTTCTCAGATGGGGACTATCAGGTCCTGCTAGACACACGCCCTATTCGGACACCTTCCAAAGACGTTTTATCCATACCGTCAACGAAGCCATATCTTGCACATGCGATAGCGCTGGAGTGGGATGTCATGACCACTGCCCAGCAAGCGCTAAAGAACCACCTCATCCCTCTAACTTCTCTGACCGCCCGTGCAGCGGATATTGCCGCAGAAGATGCTCGAGGCGAAACTACCACGAGAGATCAAATATTGAAAACAGCGATGCGGTATTTGGAAACGGACACCCTGTTGTGTTGGGTGCCGGAGCAGAACGCTTACGCTGCTGATGAAGTGGATGCCGATGGGAAGAAACCGGAAAGCCTCCGAGAGGCCCAAATTCGGGTCGCTCAAGATACAATTGCCTTCTTGAGCACCAAAGTATGGCCCGGCGTGGACATCCAGCCTATCCTCGACACCGATAGCATATTACCAGCCTCTCAGCCTCAGGCTACAAAGGACATTATTCTGCAGTGGATTTCTGGTCTGCAGGCCTACGATCTGGCCGGACTGGAGAGAGGAATACTGGCCGCAAAGAGCTTGTTGATTGCAGTCCGTCTGGTCGCTGAATGGAGTGAGACGTTTCGAGAGGTGCAACGACCGGGCCGCGAGAGGTTCGGCATTGAGGAAGCAGCGGAGGCATCCAGCCTAGAAGTCAGGTGGCAGACCGATATGTGGGGAGAGGTTGAGGATACTCATGATGTCGACAAGGAAGATTTGAAGCGCCAGCTCGGCAGCGTCATTGTATTGGTTAGTGGAGAGACGAGGTGACTGTTCTAGTGCATTTCATTGGAACCAAGCCGTCGGGACCACACCTTCTGTACAATATATGTCAACAGAGATTTCTGTCTCTGTTTTATTAGAGAACAGTGTAACTATAGAGAGAGCCCCTTTTCGCCTGCTGAGACCATCGCGCGTAGTTACTCCGGAGGTAGTGAAACCCATCCGTCTTGGCCCACGCGCGGGAAGAACATCGTCATCACCATCTCCTCCATCATTTCTTGCGACTAGTCACGAAAATTGTACGCCAACCAGTCCAGAAGCCTTCACTTACTTCTATTTTGGCTTGCCTGGTACCCTGCAGATAATTATCCGGTCTACCTCTGCTAGTTCCGGATTTAGACAAGTGTTGGAGGCCAGCAAGAGATGACGGAAAGGGGCGAAGGGTGAGTAAACTCTCTCTGCCGCTTCGGTTCCCCGGGACCTCGTGGTTGAATCACCGCAAGCCATACCCATCTTCCCTTCAGCTATCTTACTTGTGCGTGGGTCCTGGGATGAACCATAAGCAATCGCTAGGTTGTTCTTGAATTCAACCTCCGACCAGAACATAAGGAGCTCTCTTGCCCAACCTGAAACCTGGGGTTGCCCCGCGATTTGGGCGCTTCGCTCGCTAACATAACATACTGTTTCCCAGACACAAACGGTCTCGAAGTTCCCTGGCGCTGGCGCTTTTACACCGCGATAGGTCGAAGGATAACCGTGAAGAGCCGGTCGTTCGCGATAGTGGCTCCTCCGAATCCGCCACGTCTTCCCTTGCCAATAGTACTCCATCCATATCTGGAGTTCCAGCTACCCGAAGCTCCAGCCGCCGAAGTACACGCCCTCAAGAGCCAAACCTACGTCCCATGTCTGCTGAACCGTCACAAGAGCCCGCGGGCCCTCACAGAAGCGGGGATAACATTGAGAAGCTACCCTCCATATCACATGCCCAGACCAGTAGCATGTCTTTAGATCAGTCAGTCCGGACTTTTCGTCTATTCGAGATCTTACGGAGCGGCGACACGAATGCGATTTCGAAAGCCATCAGAGAGACCAAGGAGCCGCAGGGAGCAAATGCCCTTTCTGGGACAACTATTCTACACCTTGCGATTCAATGCGCTGAGCCGCAAGTTGTCGAATTCGTGCTGTCCTCCAGCCAGGACCTTGACATAAACGCGCGTGATCGGGAGGGCAATACACCTCTTCATTTGGCTGCTCAGCTTGGACGAGGTCCAGTGATTCGCGAACTGCTAAACCAACCCTCTATTAACGATTCGATCATAAATTACAACGGCCAAACAGCTCTTGATATTGCGCGCACTCCAGAAATCTTCCAGCAACTTCAGCTAGCTCGCTCACTGTTCATTGACGTCAAGACCCAAGAGATCCAAGCGCTCGTTTCTCAAGGAGAATACGAAAAACTGGAGAAGGCGCTCGAAGAGCCCCGTGTAGAGGGCAGCATCGATGTCAACAGTTTAGATTTGGTAACGGACCCTGCCACTGCCCAGTCTGGGGGCACGTTGTTGCATGAGGGGGCAAGGAAAAAGGACACACAACTGATTCAGATCCTATTGATGCATGGAGCGGATCCCTTCCGTCGTGACAAGAAAGGGAAATTGCCTCAGGATGTGACTAAAGATGACAAGACCCGTGCGATCGTCAAGAAATCTCCAGCAGCAGTCATCGCACAACGTGGCATACAGGAAAAAGCCATTCTCGGCACCAGCGCAGCTCAAGGTGTGCCTGGTCGCTCAGGCGGTAGCGAGGCGCCTTTTGCTGGCAAGGAAGCTCGTGAAATGAGGGGTTATCTAAAGAAATGGACTAATTATACAAGTGGCTATAAATTGCGATGGTTCGTTCTAGAAGATGGTGTGCTGAGCTATTATAAACACCAAGGTATGATGCTTGCCGGTCTATATAGTTGTTTCTTGGCCATAGCTGACTGGTTTCTTTGCAGATGATGCGGGCTCCGCCTGCCGAGGAGCGATCAATATGAAAATTGCTAGGCTCAATATGGATGCGCAGGACAAGACCCGTTTCGAGATTCATGGAAAGTCATCCGTCAAATATCATCTCAAGGCGAATCACGTTGTCGAGGCAAAGCGTTGGTTCTGGACTCTAAACAATGCCATACAGTGGGCCAAGGATGAGGCGAAGGAGGAAGAGAAGCGTCAATCGAAACATGCTGAAGTACTTCGCCAGGCCAAGATTGAGCAAGTGGAAGGCCGATTGTCCGAGACCATATCCGACTCTCCAAGTTCAGCTATTCCAAGATCCAACGTGAAGAGCCTTGCACCCCCTTCCATCAATATACCAAGTAGCAGTGGCACACGGCTCAGCACGTACGCGTCCCACACAACCGCAGGGAGCGCGCCCGAAGACGAAGAAAGCTCCTTGTACGGGTCAATGGAGCACGCCGCTGCACCAAATGAAGTCAATCGGGTGCTGAGCCATGTGACCTCGGCGCCAGATATTGACGGCGATGACGAAGAGGACTATGCGTCCAGTCATGATATGCAGCCCACGGACAAAGATGCTTTGAACATCACTGCCCAGTCAACGAAACTCCAGCTTGACATCCTTGCCAATGTCGCGTCTTCGCTGCAAGCGGAAAAGTCAAAGAATCCTGCCACATCACTCTCCGATCCAGCAGTTGATCAGGCTTTAGTTGCTTATGAAGCAGCTGTGAGTAGTTTACAAGGCTTAGTGCAGAGCCTTTTGAAGATATCTCGGGACCGTGATGCGTATTGGCAGTATCGCTTGAATAGGGAGGCATACTTGCGCAAGATGTGGGAGGAAAGCATGGCAAGGATCGCTCAGGAACATGAGGAGCTCCAGTCACGAATGGGCGAATCCGAGGAAAAACGTAAGCGTACCAAGCGGGCGTTGAAGGAAGCGTTGGAGTCAACAGCCACGAGCCGTGCAGTCAGTAAAGCTCCGTCGCGCGCGCAGGTTGCCAGTGGAGAAGTTGCCGATGTCGAACTCGAGACTCAAGAGCCGGAGCCAGCAGAAGTCTCGCCAGAATTCGAAGATCGAGAACTTAGAGGTACTCTTCGTCGTAGGAAGTCGGCTATGTCCAATATCAGCACTCTCTATGACTCGGAGTCTGAGGATGAAGACGAGTTCTTCGATGCCATTGATTCCGGAGAAATTGAGGTGGAGAAACTTGCTGGCTCGGAGGACGGCGAACAGAAGCCTCTGGAGGAGACCAATGAGCTCCGAACCGCGAAGAGATCTGAAATTGTGCCTTCGTTCAAGGGATATGAAGAACCCATCCGGCAGAGACTGAAGATGGATTACGACAATAGACCGAAGATTTCGCTCTGGGTATGTTATTACCCCTCTTGGCCATTGAAATCGTATGTAGCTGCTGACATGTGTTTGCTTGTAGGGGATTTTGAAGTCAATGATCGGGAAGGATATGACGAAGATGACTCTCCCGGTATCCTTCAATGAGCCTACATCCCTGCTTCAACGCGTGGCCGAGGACTTGGAATACGCAGATCTACTTGATGTTGCAGCGGACCGACCCGATTCCATGGAGCGTCTGGTGTATGTCGCTGCATATGCTGCAAGTGAATATGCTTCTACGATTGGCCGTGTTGCTAAACCGTTCAATCCTCTTCTTGGGGAGACATTCGAATATGTCCGGCCGGACAAAGGGTATCGGTTCTTTGTCGAACAAGTCAGCCATCATCCCCCGATTGGTGCTGCTTGGGCCGAGTCGCCAAAGTGGGACTACTATGTAAGTTTCAGATGCGTGCGTCCTTTTGGACATGTGATTGACGCTGACATCTTGTCTCATAGGGCGAGTCTGCTCTGAAGTCCAAGTTTTACGGAAAGTCGTTCGACATTAACCTTTTAGGGACATGGTTTTTAAAGCTACGGCCAGCATCTGGAGGAGAGGAGCTGTATACCTGGAAGAAGGTCACATCTTCCGTTATTGGCATTATCACCGGTAGCCCCACAGTGGACAACTACGGCCTGATGGAAATCAAGAATTGGACCACAGGCGAAGTTTGCTATTTGGATTTCAAACCAAGGGGCTGGAAGGCTTCATCCGCATATCAGGTGACGGGTAAGGTCGTGGATCGGGATGGGTCGCCCAAGTGGAGTATCGGTGGCCGATGGAACGATAAGATCTACGCGCGCCATACCCCAGGGTTCGAGGCGACAGTTTCCGGCCAGGATCCTGAATCGGCCAAGACGTTCCTGGTCTGGCAAAGCCATGATCGGCCGAGCGGGATTCCATTCAACCTCACACCATTCGTCATCACTCTGAACGCTTTGCCCGAAGGGCTCAAGGAGTGTCTCCCACCTACCGACACACGACTTCGACCCGATCAGCGTGCGATGGAGGAGGGTGAGTATGATTTAGCCGCCACGGAGAAACATCGAGTGGAGGAGAAGCAGCGCGCCAAGCGGAGAGAAAGAGAGACGAAAGGCGAGGAGTATAAGCCCAGATGGTTCAGTAGGGCCAAGTGCCCGGTCACTGGTGAAGAGTATTGGGCACACAACGGACAATACTGGACGAGTCGCGAGAGCGGCGACTGGAGCGCCTGCGAGGACATCTTCTAACTTGGTACTGTTTGACTTGGGGTTCGCAAGCGGACTGTCTCTACCTATGTAATTAGAACCCAATGGATCCGTGCCTTTGCTATTATTCATCTTTTAGTTTTACTCACTCCCTCGTAACTTAAGGTACTAATTCTGGGGACCGGCCGGGTGAAATCACGTGCACGCGGGCGAAAAGGACCGCCGCCGCGTGGGAGAATCAAGCCACTTTTTACTGCAAGAGTCCTGTTCAAGCGTCGCGTTGCACCCACAATGACCGGCGAATATACTTGTGGGCGCTGTCTGCAGGTGCTCCGGCGAAGGGCTGTTGCCCAGAACTCTGTGGCTCGCTGGCATCAAGTCGCCAGTCCAAGGCGAGGGGGATACGGCTTTCCCGCTTCATGCGTGCGGAGCTTGAGCTCTCGGAGCAGTGCTTCCTTTAAGTCCAGGCCTATACAAGCCCCAATCCGACAGAATACTCTATCGTCCAATTTGTCGGCCTCCTCAATTGCATCGCAAAATGTCAAGTCGATTGTGCAGAAGGCCACATCTGCCACATCTGCCGCCTCGCCAGAGGCCCGGGCACTTCTGAAGCCGAATAACCTGTTTCACTCCTTCTCCCAGTCTCCAGCAGCTGCAATCCGACAGCGTGCGGCTTTTATCAAGCAGAACGCCTTCTGCCCCCATCCGAGCCATCAGCAGACTCGTTTGCCCCTGTCCCCCCACGATCCCGAATCGCGCAAGAGCCAGTTGACCTCGGAGAGTTTGCCTCCCGCGCACTCTCATTTCGAATGTCCCGACTGCGGTGTTCCGATTTACTGCTCCGAGGGCCATTGGATGGATGATTTCGAGGCCCATCTGGAGATTTGTGAGACAATTCGACAGATCAATGAAGACGATCATGATCTACACTCCGGACGGTTTTTCCCGGAGTTCTCGTACCCCGGACTGCAGGACGATAACTTCGTCATTAACATGACGAATTGGGACACTTTCCTGTACACACGAGAATTCGAGGCGATCAACGATGATCGAAGCATGCGACAAGTAACGAGAATGCTCACCTACCCTCTCACAATTGGAAGTGTTTTGCATGAGCTGAGCCCTTACAATGTCCGGAAAGAAGGCAGGCTTACCGTGGAGGGTCTCAAGAGTGTCAGCGGTAAGTTACAATCTCTCTCTTTCTCTCTCTCTCTCTCTCGTCTTGTAGGTTCGCCAGCTAACCTATTGGCTGTATTCAGCGCTCCGGTACACCCTTCACCCTCCCAAGACCGGTGAGGGCGTTGACATCCAAGGACTACGACTCAAGGCTCCTCCCGTGCGCATATTCATTTTGGGAGCTCGCGCCGAGTCCTCGTTGCCGCGCGAAGTTTGGCTTCAACTTAGCTACATTTTCCCGCGCTCCCTGATCCATCTGATCTTCATCGGACCGGAGAGTATGGCCAACCGGGATGATGAATTCCCACTACCCGAGCGCACCTCCGAGAATCCCTTCGGTGGTATTGTGGAGGACAGACTTGGAGGACAGTTCAAGATTACCACGTACGTTGACTACTTCCACACAATGTACAAAGCGCAGTACTTCCAGCCCTTCGATCCTTATCTGGACTGCTTCATGCTCTTCCACCCGGGTCTGGGACACCCGGCCAGCTCCCACGAATGGGAGGAAACGCTCCCGCAGCTCCTCGAGACCAAGGTCCCCATCATCAGCACGGGCTACACGCAGTGGGATATGGAACGTGATATCAACTGGGTCAACGAGAAATGTGCTGGTGAATTCGACATTCTGCTCGAACCCGGTGAGAACGTTTTCCGCAGTTTGCGCTGGGATCTCAACGATCTGGATCCCCATGACGTGTCCTGCGGTAACTGGGGTGTTTGGGCTTTCAGAGGAAAGAGGTACGAGGCGACTTTCAAGGATCAATAGTTTTAAGTCTGGAGGATATGCCTGTTCTCGATGTAACGCGATATTATATTACTGTCCCCTCTTTTCCTCTCTGTCTCTTTCCTCTATCCTGCATCTCTCATTATATCTCCCCTGTATATTATCCCAGCTGCATTTCGTGTCTTGTCTTCGTTCATATGAATCAGATATTGGTCGCAATGATGCGATTGTAACCTGTCAGCCTCACTTCCTCTTTATTCCGCTGTGTACATTCTCAGCTATCATGTCAAGCATGTTGGCATTGGTCGAGTCAAAGGTAGGGAGGTCTACGACAGTGCCCAGCAGTGTCTCCCTCTTCACTTTTACTCTTCACCTTTGCTATATAGGCGCTTCTGATCCTGCTTCGGACGAGTAACGGAGCAGCAGGGATAATACCAAGAAAAGGTTTTACAGCGTAAGACAGAGGGTGGTCCAGTCTGGGAAGAGATTAGATAAGCTCAGCCTCCAATATGGATCAAGCAAACATCGCTGGACTGAGGCAAGACCCAACTGTTGAGTTTCTACTTCGCTGCGTCATTGCGGACTGAAGCCTCACAGAGAGCTGGAAGAGGCAACATTACCGGGATACTTATGTGCATTCCAGTAAAGGGAAGAAGGAAAAGATAACAGAAGGGAAAAAATAGTCAATTATAAGCATTTGCATGAATTTGGAAATAAAGAATGTGCAAGGTACTAATGTCACATATCAGACAGATGAGCAAATGCTGCCGACCCGTCGAATGGACATATGCAAGGCTTGATGGATCAAAAACACGATGAAAAGAGAACACACGAGAGGGAACTACTGTCCGAAAGGAGAGCTCAAAGTCATAGTTGTCGATAGTACATATATTGGATGCTTCTTCTCAGCGGGTTGTCGTTAAGAGTCCCTTTCTCATTGCCACATCACCCTCCGCTTCTCAAACTTCGTGCAGACAGCTATCCACGCCACTCTGGCATTACCCAGGAGGCATGACCATAAGATAGCAGTCCACTCAGGGTATCTTAGAGCATGATAAATCCTGCAGCAGCGAGGACCCCAGCAGCCATACCTCCAGAAAGCTGGACGACCGGAGCGGCGGCGCCCGAGTGAGTAGCAGATGCTGCAGCCGCAGTAGCGGATTCGGAGTCCGAACCAGAGTTTGACTTCGATTTTGAGTCCGCGTCGGTCGATGTCGTGGTGGTCGGGCGAGCTGATGCCTTGGTGATGTATGACCTGGTGAAAGAAGCTGAGGAGCTGGCAATGGCGGAGCTAGAAATGGCGGAGCTAGAGACACGACGGCTAGAACTTGCCATATGGCTTGGCGAAGCAGAAGAGCTGGGATGGAATCTGGCGCTGCTACTGCTGCTGATGATGACAGCAGTGCTGCTGGCTGTATGAAGGGGGCTGGACGAGATGGAGGTCGGAGTTGGTGTCAGCGGCGTGGATGCGACATGCGTGCTTGAGACGGGCACAGGTGTTTCTGTAGGTACAGCCTGCACCGCAGCAGAGGCGAACGGGGCGAAGGCCGCACAGGTAACGAGAAGGACCTTGGAGAGATACATCTTATTGGCTGCGTATGTATATGGTTTGCGAATCAGAACGCTGACTGGGATCGATATGCCACGCGGACGTGTAGTATGCACTAGAGAAACCAGGCTGAAGTATTGATGTTGATGTTTATATAGCGTTGGAAAGCACTGGCGCTCTATGGAACCTTGATAGAGACGATAGCTAGTAGCTGATGATTTTGAAGAAGTCTAAAGAGCGAATGGAGCTGGAAGGAATGGCAGCTCTGGTGGTTTGCGTATGTATGAAGAAGGAGCGACAGCGCAGCTGGTGAACTCCAGTTAGAAATGCTCAGGAAGAAGGTGCGAAGAAGAAGAAGAATAGGGGGAAAAGGGAAAGACAGACGGGCTGGATTGAGAGACAATGGAGCTGCCAAGGGGAAGAAAGGAGGAGTCAGATCTGACAGATGTCTGATGGGGCAGCCTGCCGTGCCCACTTTTGCTACGTACCTTTGGAGGGAGGGTCATCGCCAGTGGATCCGGTCAGCAGGGAGACACGTCCAGATCATTGGGTGGCGGATGAAACCCGAATGAGGCGTGAAAAGATTGCATATCTGGGCCTTGAAGACGAGCTTCTAGACCCTTGTTGCGGGAGGACCTTGAAACGTGGCCAGCTCAATCAGGATGGCGATGTATATGCATGGCTGAGATGACGATCCCGGTGGAGAGGCTGCAACGGTTCTGCGTAATTAACCTTTAAGCTCATCCCTTGACCCGTGGGAAAGGCAAGATCATCAGGTGCTTTCGTGGCAATAGATCGAGACTGACATGGATGAAGCGATGATTGGGGATGATGAGTGCAGGATCGAGGGTGGGGGTTCAAGGGACACACAATTTAATTAATCTGTTGCAAGTGGAGTCCGACCTGGGCTCTGCAAACTTGCAAAGCCGAACACCAAAAATAAATCAAAATGGAATGGAATGGAATGAGACAGTATGATATTAATAGCCATTCTTCTAACTTCAACGCCAAGCACATGGGTATCATCTGCTGTCGGATCGTCTAAAACTATTGTAGTGGTAAAAAGAGCGCAGTCCAATGAAGGAATAACATAATAAAGGTTATGAATGATGTGGTCGGTTGGGGGCACCTTACTCGTCTCTAGTAAGAGCAGGACCAACTACGTCCATACAATGCCCACCACCACGGCCACCATCATCCAATATCCAGATCCATGAACACCAAAGTGAGTTGCAGCCGAATCGGCGGCAGTCGTCCCGTTGGCCAGGGTGCCGTTGATATAGATTGATTCCGTGCCGTTCACATCAACCACCTTGGCCACGCTCGTATTCCTAGGTTGAGTTCCATTGAATAAGGACTCATAGTAAGTGCTGTTACTATTTTCATCGCATCCACATTCCAAGTACTGTTGGCAAATGCAGTTCACGGGTAATGACTCGTTTTTGTGCGAGGTATCGTTCATATAGTGGTAGTGATAGCTGTAAGGGTAGACGTATGCCCCATATAACCAAAGGCCTGGGAAGTAGAGAGGGACAATGGCCGCTGGCAATAGAAAAGGCGTCAACCCCAAACGTGATCGTGCCCCTGCTG